ATTCCTCTTTGGTCGCAAAATTGACGTCGATTCTCCAGAAAAAGACGGTTTCCTATGTAATCGACCCCGAGGACTCTAAATTTCATGTTCCCTGAGCTCCTCGGGGTCGATTACATGAGAAACCATCTTTTTCTGGAGAATCGACGTCAATTTTGCGACCAAAGAGGAATCCTGAGAAATTTTTGGCGGGGGCGAGGCCCCCTTCCTCACGGGGTTAGTTACTGCCGTTCAGGGGGGTCAATTAGAACTCTTAGGAGTCACAAAGGATGTAAATGTGTTCTGCTCCTCAATTTGGATGCAATTAATTTGCATTTCGGAAAGGAGCCCCGATTTTTAAAATTGGGCCCCCCCCCCGTTTACCCCTTAAGGGGAGCTAGAGGAGCTTCGGGATCATGAAATTTGGATTTCTCGAGGTCGATTACCTGGGAAACCGTCTTTTTCTGGAGAATTTACGTCAATTTTTAGACCAAAGAGAAATTATGGAGTGGGGGACTGTCCCCCTCTTTAGGGGATCAAATTTGGGCCTTGGATGGTCCGATTTTGGATTTTAAGGGGTCAATTCCACGTGAAATTTTCCGTGCTTTTCAATTCTGATGCGATCCATCCGCAATTCGGTCGGGAACCGTGACTTTTAGCATCGTGACCCCCTCTTTACCTCCCAAGGGGGGGTAGAGGGGGTTTCAGGACCACGAAATTCGGATTCCTTGGGGTCAATTCCCTGTTCAACCCCAGTAGGGTGAAAATGCCGACTTTAGCGCAAAAGTTTTTAGCCAAATTGTGCAGAAAAATATGAATTAAATTACAGCGTTGTATAGGGATTATTGTTCAATATGGCAACGCTGTAAAAAGAAAGTATTGCATGTTGCCCTTCAATATGCGGGTTATGCAATCGTGTATGAATGCCCCTTCATTTTTCGGGTTATGCAATGGTGTATTTTTCAAGATGGCGCAGCAGCGTTGCCGAACGGGGCACGTAAATAAATGATTTNACCCCGCGGTCTCCGACTTCGTACGACCTATACCAACCGAGAAAAAGGCCTGGTACGGGTGGTCTGAAACACCCTGTATTATAAAATCATGTTTAAGACGCTAAGACGCCCGATGGACGGAGTAAGTAAGGTAAGTAAGACTTTCGATGGGCTGGAGTGAGGAAGACGAATACCAACGTAATTGGGAGGATGGGTGAGGGACGTCCGTAAGTGGGAAACTATCGCATGAAGTCCGCGGATCAATCACGCTCGCGCCAGCCGAGAAAGGTTCAGTGGAAGGGAGTCGGGCCGGCGCGGTAGCAGGTATCATTCCGCTGCTAACTGCAATCAGTTCAGTTGCTTGCTCTCAAGAACTCTTGCCACGCTGCCTCTAGCTTCCGTCCTCTGTATCCCCTTTTACCCTTTATACTTGGCTTGCCCTTTCTGTTTCTCATTATTTCATCCTTATTTGTTAATTGGGGTTTCTTTTTTTTAAAATTCTTAATAATACTAAGGTTTTAATTATTTGAGGTTTCGCTGGGGCATTTCCAACCCTCAGCGTCGGCCATTTTTGCCGCCATTTTGGGTTCTGGGGCCCGCCCATCCCCCCCCCCCGCCCGTTGTGTCCGATAATGTAAATGTAAAATCATTTTCGGGTTTTCCGACCCGAAAGACACATGAATGGACACCCTACTCGGCATTTTGAGGAACACATATCCCTTACCCTGATTTTTGCCCCAACTTAACCGCTATCTTGGATTTGGCATCTCAAAAACGGTCAAGTTGAAGATGGAACAGCAGATTTGAACTCTACGACCAAAAACACATGGAAATCGACTTTTCAATCGGCCTTAAGGGTTGATGTATTCAATTTTATCCTCACGGGGATAATTTTAGCCACCATCTTGGATTGGGGTTGACTTTTCAAAAATTGAAAATGAAAACAGCGGAATTCTGTCTCTGGACGTCAAGGCGAAGAGATTAAGACAGAGTCCATATTTCTATCACTTACGGCTCCACAGGACCCTTAAAATGAACGTTTGCGCCCGGACTTTATTAAAGGTAGGTACCTAAAGCAAAATTTTGCAACAAATAACCTCTTGTGAGTCACTCTTAGCTATGAACCGGGCCATAGTCTTAGTGCATTCTCTGAGGAAAATATACCACTTAACATATATCAATAAATGCTAAGAGACTCAAAAATCTTTGTGGAAAGTCTTTTGCAATTGAATTTAATACAATTTTTATTTCGTTAACTACGATTGCAAGATTTTTACACCATTCAATTAGTAAATGCAAGAAGTAAACATTCAATCAAACCTATTCAACGCAAAAGAAAGGTAGACAATTTGGAGTAAAAAAGAGCCAAGGATGTCTTATTAGAGCAGGGAATTATTCATGAAGAATACCTCAAGATTTTAGGGCGATCATAGCTCATTAGATAGTTAGGAATAAGCTTATAACTGATTATGATGATAGATTTATATTCTGAAGGCGCGCTCTTCCAACACCACGTGTTGGCTTTACCTGATTGTTTAACTGTTTCTGCGCCTATCTTTTCAGATGGTGTCGTAATGGCATCGTTCAATAATTACGTTTCCATAATACAATAGATCATCACACCAGTTACGTTTCCCGGCATCGTGACTGGTCTTAGTTAATTTTTAAAATGTTTCTTGCCATCCTACATAAATTTGTAATTTGTTGCATCTAGGAAATTTATTACGAGCAAATTCATTTGATATCATTTTCTGGACGAATGAAAGTTGATCTAAACTGGCCACCAGTTGCTGGGCGTCTGCAGTGGATGATTAAACTTAAAAGTAGAATGGATTCCTGCTTCCAAAAGTACAAAGAATGGGATTGCAAGTAAGAGGCTCTTTATATAGATGCTCATGATTAATTCGCAACACTAACTATAATTGCTTAATAGGAACTAACTCCAGATAAGAAGCAATACACATTTTTGAATGGAATTTTAGCATTGTTTGGCAAGGTGCGTGCACCCCACGACTCACCAACTCTTTTCGAGTCCAACTGGAAAACCCCCCGACATAAAATTGTCGGCCAAAGTAGTCCAGTTTTGTCGTGGGCTCCTCGTACGTTTTGAAAAGAATGGAGAATTTGCACGCAAATTTCTTATTGCTTCATCTGAAAATGCCTATAGAGCTGGTTTTGCAGTATTTTTGATAATTTTTTTCGGCTATGGGTAGTAGTATAAAAATATATTTAAAAGTGAGAAAAGGCGCCGCCTAGTGACGTCATCTGGCGGCAATGCCCTTTTAAACGCATGATTTAGGATTAGCAGATTAGATCATTTTTTCATGTCTCTGACGAATTCATGAATCAATGGTATCCTCGTGCTCAGCTCACTTTGTAACTTCCATTCAAACACGGAATATTCATCAAAGGACCTTATTCAAAATCGGCAATTTCCAACCTCAGCCAAATCTTAGTAATTTTTTTAGGGTTGATAGAGGACCATTTCCCGAATCCAAAACATTGACGATTTTTGAATTCTAATAATTAGGAGGGAGGGGGAGGGGTTAAAGTTAAAACATTAAACTAGAATATCTAATGAACGGTGTGTCGAAAAGAGATGATCTTGGTCTAAAAATGTAGAGAACATTTTCATATTTCAGCTGGTATTCATAAAATTTGTCCGTTTTGAAATGTTCATCCATTGTTGCCATGAGCATGCCAATGCCTGCATTGTTGCAGAGTAGAATAGGTAAGAGGGTTTTGACATGGATCCTCAGATATCTCTAAGAAGCATTAATTTCAGTGACCTATCTTTTTTACGCATTTTTGCGGACACGTCAGTGATTCTTCAAAATTTAGCTGAGTCTAATAAAAAGGCTTTTGCAAGGCTTTTCATACGAAAATGTCGCAATTGTTGCATCACTCATTGAAGGAGGAGACTATTCTCAAGAAAACTACTGGACTTTAGCCAGTCGATTGAGTATTTTTTCTCACGCTCTTTTAAAAGCATTTGTACGATCTGAATCGAAAAATATTGGATTTTGTGCGATAAAATATTTCATATTGTTTTGGAGCACATAGAAGGCTCAGATCAATCCATAACGACCATTTTTTTTTTACTTTAGATAAAAATGCAAATAGGTGAGGAAGGGGGCTCCTGCAAGGGCTAAACATACTTACACGTCATGACTGTTGCATCACTCATAAATGTAGGAGCCCACATTCGATTTTCAGTAAAGTATAATTTTTAATTTTCTTTTCGGAGTAATAAGAAAATTTGGTTCAACATGGTTGAGACTTTGGCCGGATTCTTTACCCCTTAGAATCTGAAAGTTTTTTTGGGTTTTTTGTAGTTTTTGTATCAGGTTGTTTTTGGAATGATGTGAAGCTAATGAAACATTTGGCTGGAGACAGAGAAACTGATAATAATATTTTCAATGAGCAGAACTGGAACTCCTTGTTTGATCAACTAAACATTAATAAGGGGTGATTCAGTTATATTTGCAATCAATAAAAGTTACCTGATGTTTTGGTGAGTTTACACTTCTCTCATCGAAATAGGGTACATAATGTTTTAAAAACTGATGGATTAGCAAGTAATTGTCATAGTGTAGGCTACTTAGAAAATAACTTCTTTTGCCGCATTAATTATTCCTTACTCATAAAGTTTCAACATTAATTATGCAATTTTTACTGCGTTTAACTCAACTGTTGGACATACTTACATTCAGTCACTAAAATTTTAAATTAAATAATAGTGAGACCACTGAGTGGAAAGTCCATTCAAAGAGTTAAAATTATTTTATTTTTTTTTTTTTTT